CACCGAGCAGTTAGAGCAGTTCAAGAGGGTAAGTGGTGATTCGTGTGTGTGTGTGTGTGTGTGTGTGTGTGTGTGTGTGTGTGTGTCAGCATCATGCCGACAGCTTCACATAACCACGTATCAGGGTGTGTGCTGAGATGAATCCTACACCACACAAGAGCCTCATGACAGTGGTGGCAGCCAGCATTTATTCAGGGTGCGCCGTGCACGTATCCGTTAATCCTCACATCCACCTATGACGTAGGTACTCGAGCCCATTTTACACACGAAGGAACTGAGGCCAAGAGTGTCTAGAGGTGGGGGCGCCTGGGTGGCTCAGTCAGTTGAGCATCCAACTTTAGCTCAGGTCGTGATTTCATGGTTCGTGGGTTCAAGCCCCACGTCAGGCTCTGTGCTGACAGCTCACAGCCTGGAGCCTGCTTCGGATTCTGTGTCTCCCTCTCTCTCTGCCCCTCCTCCACTCACGCTCTTTCTCTCTCAAAAATAAACATTAAAAAAAAAAAAGAGTGTCTAGAGGTGAGGAGACTCACCCAAGGTCACACAGCTAGTGACAAAGCCATGATTTGAACCCAGGGAGTGCAGCTGCCTGCCTACCTCCTGCCCACTCCAGGGCAGGGTCTACAACACCCTGCCCTCCGCCCCCGTTGCTTAGCCACAGTTGAGAACAACTTCTGGGTCGCTTAAGATGGAGAACATTCTTTCCGTCTTAATTTCCCTGCAGGTTGGAGGAAAACAGCTCGCTCTCCGGCAGAGTTTGAGAATGACTGGATTTAGTCGTTCTTTTCCCTCGTGCTTGGCTATCTGGGGTGTGTGGGATTCGAGGCAGTTAAGTAGCCCGAGTCTGAATGCTTCACACCCAAAACTTCTTCTCCCTTGGGAGAATTTCCTTGTGTTTCCTTCCCAGGGGTGAGCTGTTTAGCTTGCGACATCCGGATGGTGTCCCTAGAGATCTGATTGCATCCCCCTCAGCACTATGGCTCCCCTGATCCCTGCCCTTTCTAGATATCCGCCCCCCCAAGCTAGACCAAATGGGCACAGCATTACCTAAAAATTGTGGGCAGTTTGGGTTTGTTTCTCTCGCCAGCCAAGGTCACTCTTCTTCCCTGAAGGGGTTTACTGAGCACCTTTCCGCCTCTTCTAGAAGAACCTTCAATTTTCCTGTACAAGAGAACAGTGGCAACAGTCCCTTAGGTAGCACTATGTGCCTGATACTGTTCCAATGCTTTCCAGACACGAGTTCATTTCATCTGGGGCCTTTGTTAAAATGCAGATGTCCGGGCCCTGTCTTCCACCCTCCTACAGGGGGGTCTTAGGCCCAGTGTCTGAAAAGTGCAGGGCAAGACTCAGCCCCCACCCCGCACCTTCCAGGTGAGTAGAAGGACTCTTGTTAAGTGGGAGCTGAATACTAACGTTGAACACTGTGTCACTTCTTTGGACAAATAAGATTTGCTAATTGTCACTACACAACATACATTTTCTCTTATGGTGCTATGCTGGGTAAATGTGGTGAGAGTGAGACCCTTCTTGTTCCTGAAACTCTCACTTCTTCCCCACTGAGGATGTTTGTGTTTAGCTTGGGTTTTTTTGTTTGTTTAGAGATGGAGAGATAGAGATAGGAAGGGGCAGAGAGAGCATCCCTAGCAGGCTCCGTGCTATTAGCCCAGAGCCCAAGGCGGGGCTCAGTCCCCTGAAATGTGAGATCGTGACCTGAGCCGAACTCTAGAATTGGACACTTAAGTGACTGAGCCATCCAGACGCCCCTAGCTTGTTTTTTGAAAATCAGAATTATTGAGGTCTGTGCAGTAAGACTCAGTAAGACTCAGTAAGCTTGTTTTTTGAAAATCAGAATTATTGAGGTCTGTGCAGTAAGACTCAGTAAGGAGTTTTAACTGTATAGTTCAACTAATTTCGACAAACGTATGCATTTGTGTAACCACCACCTGTCATGATAGAGAACACTAGATTTTTTATTTTAAAAAATTTTTAAATTTATTTTGAGAGAGAGAGAGAGTGAGAATCCCCAGCAGGCTCTGAGCTGTCAGCGCGGAGTCAGATGTGGGGCTCGAACTCCCTAACCACGAGATCAGCATCTTAGCCGAAAGAAACCAAGAGTCGGAAGCTTAACCGACTGACCCACCCAGGCACCCCACAACACTACATTTTTTTTATTTTTTTTTTCAACGTTTATTTATTTTTTTGTTTTTGGGACAGAGAGAGACAGAGCATGAACGGGGGAGGGGCAGAGAGAGAGGGAGACACAGAATCGGAAACAGGCTCCAGGCTCTGAGCCATCAGCCCAGAGCCCGACGTGGGGCTCGAACTCCCGGACCACGAGATCGTGACCTGGCTGAAGTCGGACGCTTAACCGACTGTGCCACCCAGGCGCCCCATACATTTTTTTTAAATGATGCTGGAATACAGTTTTATTTTTTCTTTATTAAATGTTGGCAACAAAGAATAGGTCTATCGGGACATGACGACAGGCTGGATGTAGCTTGTGGAATGCTGGTTTGCAACCTTTGAGCTTTAGCAGAACAGAATGCAAAATGTCTCACCGTGACCGTGTGTCCCCCACGCTGCTGCGTTTCTCCCCAGAGGGGACAAGCACGGGTCCCTGCACCTCCCTGACCGGAGGGGAAGGGAAGGAGGAAGATCCACCAGTGACAGAGTTAGGTTCTTAACCCGCTTTCCTGGCCACAACTGTAATGCCTTCCCTGCCCTGTGCTTCCCCGGCCAGGCCAAGGCCAACCTAGACAAGAACAAGCAGACGCTGGAGAAGGAGAACGCAGACCTGGCCGGGGAGCTGCGGGTCCTGAACCAGGCGAAGCAGGAGGTGGAGCACAAGAAGAAGAAGCTGGAGGTGCAGCTCCAGGAACTGCAGTCCAAGTGCAGCGATGGGGAGCGGGCCCGGGCTGAGCTCAATGACAAGGTCCACAAGCTGCAGGTGAGCGGCCTGCACGGCCAGCGGCCCTTGGAGCCATCCCTGGGGGGGGACGAAGCTCTCCCCGGCTAACTGAAGTCTTTGGCTGCAGAGCAAGTTGGTTCCCTCTTGTAAGGTCCCTCGAGGAGAGGAGGGCTTCTCCCTCCTCAATTCACTCTTGAAAGGCCTTTTTCTGCTCCTTCAACAAGTGTATGAGTATTTGCTGTAGACCATGCACCATGTTTGACCCTGAGATACATCAGCAAGAAAGACACATTCCCCGCCCCCATAGAACTGTGACCTAGTGGAGGGAAAGGCGTTTAAAATTCCATGAATGAGTGTAAAATGACACTGTACGTAACTGGGGGGGGG